GGGATATCCAGGGTGATCCAGTGTATGTGAACAGTGAGATGTTTGGGAGCTGAAGTCGCCATAGCCAATTGAGAGTGAACTCGTATCTGAAAGCCATATCTCTGAGTTTTGAGTGGGCGCATGTCGCCAGTATACTGCGTTGCTGTTTACATGCATGAAAAGTGTGTTTGAGAACGAGTCTGATTGCACTGGTATTTGTTACAAATCAAATCGCATCTTACTTAGTAGACGGTCGCCTCTTAGTGAAGATAGGGAGACTTTACATTCACCCAAAAGAGCCTGAGTCAATCAATTCAATATGTAAATAGCGGATATAGATTACTTCTGGGAATATGATAGGCGCGCTTGACTGAAAGAAAGAAAAAAAACTGCATTTGAAATTTGCTGTCGTGGGTGGGGGGGATAATCCTACGCACACACTGGTTGTTAGTATGGGGCAGGTACTGGGTACTTCTCATCCCTCAGGTATCTTATGATGCCTGTGGCTGGTGCTTCATCCAGGCTGGGGTCCATGGATTCTCATTGGGGGAATTAGCCGGGACTGTGGATTCTTGGGGAGCCTTGGGTAGGAAGGCATCATGCTTAGGACAGGGGAGGGTGGGATATCGCATCTTAGTGGAAGGGCGGTTCGCTGCCCCTAGAGTCTGCGGGATGAGGCACAGATGGGGGATGACTGTGTATGCATGGACCCCGCCTGTGCTCGGGCCATCCTTAACATTAGAGCTAGGGTTGTGTCTGCACGAAGATGTTGGGGCGAGTTTGGTAAGCGTTCGCGCGATCACGACTTGTCGTCTGAGCATTAGCATAGGTCATGGTATCATGCTGCCATCTTGAGGTGACTCCCCCTGTGTCCTCGCAATCCATCTGACCTCACAAATGGACGAGTACTATGGGCACCTCCTGAGACCTGGACACCACCCTGTACTACACCCTGGGAAAAAAAAAAAAAAAAAAAAAAAATTGCTGTCGTGGTGGCGACTTTTTACATGAGAGATTCAGTGTTTAGACCTCTGTTCGACCTGGGTGGATGTTGTCTGCAGACAGAGACAAATAAGCCAGTTCTGATTGCTGGTTAGCAGCTAGAAGAGGAACTGTGGACAGTAAGTGATCTCTGAGCTTGAAGGAATGCAAGCTGTGAAGTCGCAGACCGTGGTTCTACTCTTTGAGAGTGTAATGATAAGTTACTGGCATGTGTTTTGTGTCTGTGGGAATGTAGTGTCTTCTGATGGCAGTGTTGTTGCGACGGGGAGCCGAGATACCACTGTTATGGTCTGGGAGACTGAGCAAGCAAATGAAAAAGGGTCAGGCAGGGTGGGCTTCAGAGAGAGCTTGGGATATGGAGGTGGAAGCCATCATGGAAGAGGGGAGAAAGAGCTGGTTGTCATATCGGACAAGCCGAGGAGGGTGCTGTGTGGTCATGATGATGCTGTGAACACCGTTGCTGTCATGACGGAGTTTGACATGGTTGTCAGCGGGTCGGAGGATGGAACATGCATCTTCCATACGTTGAAGCATGGGAGGTACCTGAGATCAGTCAAACATCCTAATGGAGGGTCCATAGACCGGGTGGTGGTGTCAAAGCAGGGGCCTGTAGTCATGTATTCACGGTACGACCTGACACTCCATTCGTTTTCGCTGAATGGGAAGCATCTGGCAAGTGCAGAGGCCAATGGACGTGTCAGTTGCATGGATCTCAGTGCATGTGGGGAGTTTGTTGTAACTTGTGGCGACAAAGGGGTGGTGATTGTGCGGTGGGTGCACTCCCTTGAAGTCGTTAAAAGGTACGAGGGCACGGGTGTGCCGATGACATCGCTGGCTGTGACCATGGAAGACTGCTTTCTTGTTGGCTTGCAAGACGGAGCCATTCTCTTGTATTCAATAGAGCATACACAGATGCGGAAAACTTCTAACATCTTTGCACTACCTGGACGGTAATTTCGTTGCTCGAAGTGACCCTCTCCCTACCTTCTATTCCCAGGGCCTCGCTCCTGTCACTCAGTGCTCCGTGTCCCAAACACGAAGACATGAAATAATAGGTATGGATGTCCCTTAAAGAACAGCAGGTTATACTATTTGTAACTTTTCTGTTTTTGGAAGACAAGACAGTGCTCTGTGTCCCTAAGATGAAGCCATGAAAGAATGGGTGTGGATGCCCCTTAAAGAAAGGGAGGTTATCCTTTCAATGTTATTTACCAGTAGCAGGAATCCTGCATGATGGCAACGACCCCTTGAAAATGATCAGTTGCCACCTTCTGCCTCCGTGTTGAGGGGAGGGGATGAGTGCGATGGTCACCGTGGTGGGAGAAGGGGAGGACAGGTGTGATGCCGGTCATCCTGGAAGAAGAAGGGCTCAGGACTGGTGGCCTCTTTTCTCATTATCAACCGGTGAGCAAGCATGCCTGGGAACTAAGCATGATGGCCATCGTATTGCATGGGTATTACTGTAAGTTCCTGTGGCAATACAGGGGAGAGAGTCGGATGCAAGAATGTGACAAAAGGAAACAGGGAGAAAAAGAAAAAAAAACGAGGGGAGAAGAGGTGTGAAGGGTTATTGCTTATTCTAGATGTAACCAATTGGGAAGTGGAGGGGGCAGCTGTGAGTGTAGTTCATCTGATGAACCATGTCCACCATCCTGAGGGGAGGGGACAGGTGGTGAGGGAAGGGGAGGGGACAGCTGTGATGTCCGCCGTCCTGGTGGAAGCGGACAGGTCTGGCGGGCTCTCAATCAGTTTTCATTGCAATCAACTGGTGAGCAAGCGTGTCTGGGTACTGATAACAATGGCCATCGTACTGGATAGGGATTCCTGTCAGTTCTTGTGGCACTACAGGGGAGAGTGCGTGTCTGGGCACTCCTCTCTTAAAGATGTTTGGTTCAGCCCATTTCCGTCGTACAGCCTCCTCCCTTTTTTGTTCGTTGGATTTCTTTTCTTTCTTTTTTTTTTTTTTTTGAACTTTGGATTTCTTCTTTTTTTTTTCTTTCTTTTTCTTTTTTTTTTTGTACTTTGGATCTCTTCTGTCTCTGTTCTCTCTAATTCTTTGCAGTTTGACCTCTGTGCATTACCATTCAGTCTCACCTATGATGTGTGAAGTATTGCTGTCCTTCACCAGTACTTCCTAAAGTCCTGCCCGTTAACAAGGCACGATTTTAGGAAATGTACCGGGCACTACAGGAGCGCCCAAATTCATCCGAATAGAAATGTTTCTGCACTATTTTTTTCGCACGGATAGCTGGGCCAAGTACTGGTGGTTTAAGAAACTAAGAGTCCTTCCTACCCTGTCAAGTATCACTGTCCTTAAGAAACTAAGAATCAGTCCTACCCTGTCTTCCCTTTTTTGCTTTTCCCTTTTCTTTTTCGCCTTTCTTTGGATGGGTTTCCCTTTTTTGATGGCAGGAATTTGACCTTGGTGTTTCTCTATGGAAAAACTGCTCTTCTGAAGCGATTTTCAAAAGAAGCTGATTCGCTTGCTCATTTTCGAAGTGGAGACTTATGTTATCATATTTGTGTCTCATCAGTTTTGTCACAACAAGGTAGCTGTGTTACATATGATGACAAGCATACGTGAGGTTAGCTCTCTTAGCTAGCTTACTAGCAGCTGTGTTCGATTTCCAAGCCTTCTGATGTGACATGGGAGCTGTGACCTCCCATCCTCTTACCATAAACTCCCAGCCCCTCTGCAACCCGTTCCTCCCTCTTTCTTCTTCGGAGCAAAAATGTGATCGCCTACATGAACTGTTTCGTCTTCTGTTGGCGATGTTCCAGTTCCCTTTTTTTGTGATTCACTTGTCGTCGTACAGCGCTGCTGTAGGGGGTTCAGGACTGCTGCGTGAGTTTCGCGGGAGTTCGCTTTTGGCGATACGAGTGACTGATCTTCTTTTCCATCTGTCTTTCAACCTTCATTTGTTTATAGCAAGTTGTTGCCTTTCTCCTTCGATTGAGAAAGAGCAGGGCTTAGTGAAGAGGTCAGTAAACCCTCTCCCTGTGCCCCATTGCTTCACTTCACTAACATGTGCCCCTCTCCTTTCTCTCGGGTTCTGTTTCAGGGCTATATTACAGCGTACTCAGAATGTGACTTCTCCCTTCCCCCCCCCCCCCCCCCCCCCCCCCCCC